CTTCCGTAAACTGAACCTCTCCAAAACCGAGCTTTTAGTCTTCCCCCCAGCCCGCGCACCCCCCCCCTGACTTCTCCATCACGTCCAACCATGCCACCATCAAGCCCACCCCGCAAGCCAGAGTACTTGGTGTCATACTAGAACAAACTCATGCAGACTCCATCTCCGCAACATCGCCAAAATACGCCCATTTCCTAACCCCTGAAAACTACTAATCAGCTAATCCACTCCCTCATCATATTACGACTCGATTTACTGCAACTGCCTCCTCACTGGCCTGCCTCACCGCTGGCTATCCCCACTTCAGTCGATCCTGAATACGGCGGCCAGACTCATCCACCTTACCAACCGCTCCATTTCCACCACCCCCCCCCTCTGCCAATCCCTCCACTCGCTTCCGATTGCCCAATGGATCAAATTCAAACTGCTAACACTGACGTACAAAGCTGTCCATAATTCTGCCCCAAACTACATCACCGACCTAATATCCAAATACCACCCAAAACGCACTCTCCGCTCATCACAAGACATCTTTCTCTCTAGTTCCCTGATCTCCTCCTCCCATGCCCGCCTCCAGGACTTCTCCAGGGCATCACCCATCCTCTGGAACTCCCTATCCCAATCCATCAGACTATCACCCACTCTCCTCTCCTTTAGGCGCACCCTAAAGCCCACCTCTTCAGGGAAGCCTACCCCACCCTCTGCTAACTGCCGATCTCCTCCACTCTTCCTACCACTCCCATCCCCCACAGCTTTTCCTCCCGTACCACTATCCCCTCCCTACTAGATTGTAAGCTCCAAGGAGCAGGGCCCTAGAACCCCTCGTGTTTCGCACTGTATTGTTATTGTACTGTCTCATGTATTGTCCCCCATTGTAATGTACAGCGCTGAGCGAACTGTTGGCGCTATATAAATACTGTATAATAATAATGGAAATATGCATCCTTGAGGTCCATTGACAGAAGCCAATCCCCTGGCTAAATGATTTTCAGAATTGTCTGGAGAGATTCCATTTTGAATCTGTCTTTCTTGATATACATGTTGAGCCTCCTGAGGTCTATCTCCGGTCTCCGGTTGCTGGGGTACTGCAACTATCACTTTCTGGTTGAGGAGGGTTTCTATGTATTTCCATAATTTTGTCGGGACAAAGATTCTGCGGGGATGCCTCAGGAACTTCCAAGCATGGCCGAATCAGATGGTGAAAATTACCCAAGGCTCCTTTACCTCTTGTGCCCACGGAACTTGAATAATCTGGCTCCCACGCAACAAGTGTGAGCCAGCAGATAGTCAAAAAGACTTCTGGGACTCCTGTCCCAGAGACTAAGTTGGTCTCTTAGACTTGCGGTTTGCAGCCATGTTAGACCATTGACGACAAAATTCTCTCCCTGGCCTGTAAGACTTAGCATCTCTACCTCTGGTCCTTGGTGAATTTTTGTATGCTGCACCTCTTCTGCGAAGCAGCCTCTGATCCTGGAGAATAAACATTGACTTCCCCCCTGTGGCTTTTATGATGGCAGTGTCTAATGTATTTACAACCAGGGACTGCCCTTCAAATGGTGTCTTACACCATCCTTGTTTGGAACCTGGGTTCGCCATCCGGGGCCTCAGCCATAGGGCTCTTCTGCTTGCTACTGCATTAAGCATGATCCTGGCCAACATCTTAATTAGGTCAATGGATGCCTCTGCCATAAAAAGAAGCCGTTAGCTTAAAAATTGGCAAAGGAGGCCAAGACCTCAGCTTTGCTCAGGTCACTTCCCACTGCCACTTCTGACTTTTGAACCCAGGACTCCATGGCCTTCAAAATAGCTGCCAAAGCCATAGAAAGGTCTACATGCCCCACCAGCAAGTGTGTAAATCTTTTTAAGATCCACATCCACTCTTCTATCCAACACGTCCCTGAATGTCACTGCATCATCTAACAGAAGGGTTACGTGTCTAGTGAGGCGCATAAGTGCTGCGTCCACCACTGGATGCTCCTTCAAACTTTTAACACTTTCAGACTTGAAGGGGTATAGCTTTGCGAACCAATTCTTAAATGTGATTCTCATATCCGCTTGGTTCCACTCATCAATAATTATGTCCTGAATTTCTTCCATGAATGGGAAGTTCACCCCCTGCTTTTTCATGTTCATGAAAAACTTTTGTTCCTTTTGCGGTTCTTCCCCAGCATCTTCCATAACAGAGTCTGCCTTATCGCTTTCACGAAATTTTGGACCAAGACAAAATCAAAACGGTCATAACGGCCCTCAACCTCCTCCGAGGAAACAGCGTCTGAGGCCAAAGGTTCCTGGGCCTCTTGAATCACCCCAACTAGCTGGCAGCATCTGCGGAGACAAGGAGCACGGGGTGAATGGAACTGGGGCGGCTGACTGCTGCAACTGAGATGCAACCGCCTTTAAGCGTCTCCTCAAATGCCTGCTTCATTAGCGATACCATCTCCAACTTATTGGGTTCTTGGTGTTTGGTTGCTTCTTTGAAGCAAGTCTCACAAGCTGACTTGCCCGGCATGGCTCTTCTAAGGAATGCCCAGCATCCTCATGGTCTGGGTGGGTCATGATGCAATTCTCTGCCGTATCGTGATGAGGAGCACTGATCCCTAGAGGCTGAACGGGAACGCGAGGCCCTCTGTCTGTTTCCGGGAATGTTGGTCCTCCCTTGCAGATGACCGTCTCCTACTCCTTTCTGAGCTTCTTCTTTCTGATCATTGGGAAAGATTATGACCAAGACCTGGAGCTGGGGCAGCACAGACAAAAAAAAGACAAAATTAGTAATTGTCTTGAAAAACAATAAAAAGAATATGTGCATCTGACGACGTCTCCCCTACCTTCTCTGGTCTTTAGAGGGGGTAGGAATGTTATCACTGCTGTAAAAAGACAAAACCAAGAGCATGAGACAGAGCAACACAGCAGATAGAACCACAGGAGCACAGTCTTGCAGGTGCAATGCATACCTAGAGGACAGAGAGGGAATAGCAGGCACAGGCAGGCTGCAGGAGCACACAGTCACATAGGAGCCAGAAGCATCTTTAAATTTTGTCTCCCGTAAGCCTGGCTCTGCGACCCTTCTCCTGATTGGCTGTGCGGTCCCGCACATGCTCAGAGCGGGCTGCAGCATGCATGCCACGCTGGCCCACACACACTGAAACTGAGCGGCGCTGGTAAAAAGCGAGGAGACCAGCACAGCTCCCCTTAGCAGTGTCCACAGCTCTATCCACCGCCATCATCCCCAGCAGCCACCATGGAAGGATTTTATCCCTGCCAGCAGCTGCTGCCAAGGAACCCCCACTGGTCTAACACCCCATAACTGGCAGTACTTTACCACGTCCTGATGCCGCCCCGAGGACCAGCAGCGGGGCTCCATGGTCAAACTGCTGTTAGCAAAGGAGTACAGGGGCCGAGTCCAACCTTAAGATCGATTCTGGACAGCCAGCCATTAGACCAGCTAGGAGAGGAGACGCCACCTGTCCTTATTGCAGGAGGAAGAAAAAGGACCACCTAGGCTGGGGTGGGTCAAAAATGTATTGGGTTACATCCTGATCAGGCAGGGGGTGTGCGGCGGGGCCCCACCTAGCTGTGCTGACATGGAGCCATCAGGAAATGCAGCTTCACTATGTGGATGAATAAATATTGTTCTAGTCATCCATGCTGAGTACATTGTGTATGTACTGTGGGGGGAATTTTCTGAGCATGTCATGTTTAAACTTAAATTATTTTTGCTTTTTACAAATTTTAATGTTGTGCGCCCAGCTTTACATACAGATTGTTGTTGACGTCCACCCCCACATATCAAATTAGGTGGGAACCTCCTATCCCTTCACCTGTTATTTAACCACTTGCCTACCAGGGCACTTATACCCCCTTCCTGCCCAGGCCAGTTTTCAGCTTTCAGTGTTGTCACACTTTGAATGACAATTGCGCGGTCATGCAAAACTGCACCCAAACAAAATTTTTATCTTTTTTTGAGACAGATCGAGCTTTCTTTTGGTGGTATTTAATAACCACTGGGTTTTTTTTTTTTTGCTAAACAAACTAAAAAAGACTGAAAATTTAAAAAAAAAAAAAAAATTTTTTTTCTCAATTTCTGTTATAAAATTATGTAAATAAGTTATTTTTCTCCTTCACTGATGTGCGCTAATGAGGCTGCAGTGATAGACACTGATAGGTGGCACTGATGAGGAGGCACTGATAGGTGGCACTGATGGGCATTGAAGGGCATCACTGGAGGACATTGACAGGCATCACCGATGGGCACTGAAAGGTAGCACTCATATATGGCAATGATAGGCGGCACTGATTGGAACTGTTAGGTGGCACTGATTGGAACTGTTAGGTGGCACTGATTGGAACTATTAGGTGGCACTGATTGGAACTGTTAGGTGGCACTGACAGGCACTGATAGGCGGGTACCGACTGGCACTGATAGGCGGCACCGACTGGCACTGATAGGCGACACTGAAAGGCAGCGCTGATGGGCACTGATATGTGGCTTTCATGTGTAGTGATGGGCATTTGTATGTGGCATTGATGGGCACTGACAGATGGCCCATACTAAAGCGCATTAACGCCTGTCTAACGCCCATACTAAAGCTCATTAACGCCTGTCTAACGCCCATACTAAAGCGCATTAACGCCTGTCTAACGCCCATACTAAAGCTCATCTCCTGTCTAACGCCCATACTAAAGCTCATCTCCTGTCTAACGCCCATACTAAAGCTCATCTCCTGTCTAACACCCATACTAAAGCGCATTAACGCCTGTCTAACGTCCATACTAAAGCTCATTAACGCCTGTCTAACGCCCATACTAAAGCTCATCTCCTGTCTAACACCCATACTAAAGCGCATTAACACCTGTCTAACGCCCATACTAAAGCTCATCTCCTGTCTAACACCCCATACTAAAGCGCATTAACGCCTGTCTAACGCCCATACTAAAGCGCATTAACGCCTGTCTAACGCCCATACTAAAGCGCATTAACGCCTGTCTAACGCGCCCATACTAAAGCGCATTAACGCCTGTCTAACGCCCATACTAAAGCTCATTAACGGCTGTCTAAAGCCCATATTAAAGCTCATTAACGCCCGTCTAACGCCCATATTAAAGCTCATTAACGCCTGTCTAACACCCATACTCAAGCTCATTAACGCCTGTCTAACGCCCATACTAAAGCGCATTAACGCCTGTCTAACGCCCATACTAAAGCTCATTAATGCCTGTCTAACGCCCATAGCAAAGCTCATTAACACCTGTCTAAACGCCCATAGCAAAGCTCATTAACACCTGTCTAACGCCCATAGCAAAGCTCATTAACGCCTGTCTAACGCCCATAGCAAAGCTCATTAACGCCTGTCTAACGCCCATATTAAAGCTCATTAACACCCGTCTCTAACGCCCATACTAAAGCTCATTAACGCCTGTCTAACTCCCATCCTAAAGCTCATCTCCTGTCTAACGCCCATCCTAAAGCTCATTAACCACTTCCAGACCGGACACTTTTACCCCCTTCCTGACCAGGGCAATTTTCAGCTTTTAGCGCTATCACACTTTTGAATGACAATTGCGCGGTCATGCAACACTGTACCCAAATGAATTTTTTACCATTTTTTTGAGATAGATAAAGCTTTATTTTGGTGGTATATTTATTCACCACTGGGATTTGTATTTTTTTTTGCTATGTAAATGAAATGTCCAAAAATTTTGAAAAAAAGTGTTTTTTTTTTATAAAATTTTGCAAATAAATAATATTTCATCATAAATCTTTAGCCAAAATTTATTCCGTTATCTTTTTAGTAAAAAAAAAAAAAAATCCAAATTAGTTTATAAGCAAAAATTATAATTTTTAAACATTTTGTTTTACATTTTTATTTTATTTTTTTTATATTATTATTTTTTATTTTTATTTTTTACATACTGTCACCCTAGCAGTACAGTGTCACCATGGTGACACTGTACTACTTGTGAGGGGTGATGAAGATTTTTTTTTTTTTTTTTTTACACTGATTGCTTTTATACCCATATAGGATGTAAAAGCAATCATTTCTCTTTTCTCTCTGTGTGCATTCTTGCACTCATTGAGAAGAACTGAGTGAGCTGTGATTGGTCACAGCTTGTCACATGGTACAAGGCTTTTGTGAATAGCCTTGTACCATGTGACCTCTGTGATCATTCACAGATTTCACACATAGTAAGCAATGATGTCAGAAGTGACATCTTGCTTACTACTTTGCATGTGATCACTGATTGGCCAATCAGTGATCACATGATCGGGACCTCGTACAGAGGTCCCGTCCGACGATTGGTGTTTCACTGTGTCCGGAGGACACAGCGGGCACCGGATCGCGGTGCTGCGCACTCCCAGGGAGCGCGCACAAGCAGGTTGCGGGGAGGCCGTTTATAGACGGCCACCCGACCCTGCAGTGCCACCGTCCGGCCGTTTATATACAACGGCCGGTCGGGGAAGTGGTTAATGCCTGTCTAACGCTCATACTAATGCTATAGGAGTGTTTGTTAAGAGTTAGACATTCAGTCAAGTTTGAACAAGCCTTTAAATTTTTTTTTCTCAAACCTATAACTGCTATATATCTGCACCAGATGAAAGTGAAGGAAAGAAAGCCAAAAAAGAAAACTAATGCAGGCATCACCTCCAGGGGCAGACTGACCATTTGGAAACTCAGGCGCTGCCCGAGGGCTGGAGTCAGTAGAGGGCCCCATGAGATGCCCCTGGTACCTTTTCCATAGGCTTTTTTTGAGTTTGGGCAAGGACACAGGGACCCCATGATCCCCTATTGTCCGGGGGCCCCATTAGTTGTCAGTCCGCCCCTGATCACCTCTAAGAATTGGTAAGATGCAGTAAATCTAATGTTTGCTTGCTTGTGTTTAATACAGCTTTATGTACAGCATAATTACATTTCCATTTTTTCTAAAGCCAAATAGTCTTATTGCCTTGCCCAGCAGCGTAAGAAAATGATACCTCCCACTTCTCTGTTCACTCTCGGCTTAAGGTTCCAGTGCCGCCATTTAATTTTTATGCTGTTGGTAGCTAGTGGCTTCTTCCTACTTTCGGGGCTAGCCCACCCGTGACGTCCATGGCAAATAATGTACATGTGGCCTTAGGCTAACTAGCATGGGGTATAAAGTGCCCAAGATTTTACAAGATCTTATATTTTCATACCCTAGAGCTGCATGGAAGGCACTTGTGTTGTAGCTTTCTCAGGAAGCAGCTGGGAGGCACCGGCTATGTTACTGGTGTCTATAGAAATCCAAAAGGGGGAAAAATGTGTCACTTTTCATTAAAGCGGAGTTCCAGCCATTTTTGTGTTTATTAAGTCAGCAGGTACAAAAACAGGCTTTTAATAAACACACACTTATCTGTCCAAGGGTCCAGCAATGTGCTCACCTGCACCGCCCCTTCTTTCCTTCTGGCGCCAGCATCACAACTGTGGGCACCAGGCTGTGACAGCTTGTGGCTTCACAGCCGGGTGCCCACTGCACATGTGAGAGTCACGCTGCACATCCTGATTGGTCCGGCAGCCTTCTGGAACCTCTGAAAGTGCCCAGGAGACTGCAGTAGGGAGGAGGGGGATGAACTACTGGCTCATTTTGCTACGACGAACTAAGCGGAAGTGGGAGAGGGTACCTGTCAAAACCAGGTACCCGCTCCCCCCTCCCCCCAAAAGGTGCCAAATATGGCAGTGGAGGGGGGGAGGAGGCAAACAAGTGGAGTTTCCACTTTTAGGTGGAACTCCGCTTTAACAGGATTTTATTAAATAAAAGTGCAGGGTGTTTCTTGTTTGTCATACAGAACAGCATGCAGCTATGTGCTTACAATTTTGGGGAGGAATAGTAAAATATGCATCAGTCACTTCAGGGTCAAAAGTCCAATAAAAACAGCCTGTAAAAGAAGATGCTCTATACTTGTCTTTCCTGCAGTCCTGTGCTGATTCCTGGATGGCAGCGACTTCCGGATGTGTCAAATATCCCCTTATGTCCTGTACTATACTGTTAAAGTGTTTGTAAACCCTTACATATACCCAGTAAACTGACTGGCCTCAGGTGATACACAGATGAAACAAATCCTTCTACATAAGTTATACCTGTTTATCTGCAGTCTTTTTGTTCTACAGCCTCCTAAAGCACACATTTTCCACAGCAATTCTAAACTCCAGAAGGCAAGAGGCATGGATCTGATGTCACACACTGCAAAGCATAGAGTAGGGAGCTGACCTGAGTGTAGGGAAAGGACACCCCCACGGTCAACCCAGGTGCAACATTTTCAGGGGCGCAGGATGACAGAGAGCATGCTCACACAGTGTTAGGGTTGCCATCTCATCCCTTTAAAACCAAACACATATTAATGACACAGGTCCTGTGGCTGGTTAAGGCAGTAATTAGACTCACCTAGTGCCTTATCTGCATTAAAATAGCCCCAGAACCTGTGTCATTAATATGTGTTTGGGTTTAAAGGGATGAGGTGACAACCCTACATAGTGTGTGTCATCCAGGCAGAGTGAGCCTGCTCTCACAATCCAGCGTCAGCCATTGGTAGACTGAGAGAGCGGACTCACCATAGACGTGTGCAGGGGGTGCTTGAGTTCAACCCCATATCTGCATCGGGACTGGCAAGGTCTGCCTTTGAGTTTCTCCTCTGGCTACACTTGCTGCACACTGCTCACTGACTGTTTGTCCTCGCCGCACACTGCTCACTGACTGTTTGTCCTCGCCGCACACTGCTCACTGACTGGCTGTCCTTGCTGCACACTGCTCACTGACTGGCTGTCCTTGCTGCACACTGCTCACTGACTGTCCTCGCCGCACACTGCTCACTGACTGTCCTCGCCGCACACTGCTCACTGACTGTCCTCGCCGCACACTGCTCACTGACTGGCTGTCTTCGCCGCACACTGCTCACTGACTGGCTGTCCTCGCCGCACACTGCTCACTGACTGGCTGGTTGGTGTGTTTTTTTTTTTATCTTCAGCTTATTCAGCTAAGCTTTGAAAATGGAAGATTGAAGCTGGCTGGTTTCTATACACAGTGGCTCCAGTTTTGGTAAATTCCCCTTCATTGTCCGATTTAATACTTGTAGGTGATGTCACATACTAACCAGACAGGAAGTAAATGAAGATCTCCAATGGATACAGACAAAGCCTTCCCCTGCCTTACTAAAAAAAAAAGTTTTTCTTTTTATCTGTTTTGCTGTAGGTGAGTTCTCAACTCATCCTGTCTAGTGAATCATTATCGGGAGGACTGGAACTGAGGGAACATTTCTAGGGCTAAGGCGAGTTCTAACACTTTCCTACTCCATTCATTTTATGCCATAGTGGGGCTGCGATGTAGCACCTTGGTAAGTAAATAATACCTGTTACTGTCATTTTATGGAAAAAGTTTTATTGTATTTCTGAAGCACTTCTTGGATTCTTTTACATGTTTTAAATATGCTGTCCAATTGTTCCTCCTCATTGGCTGAGACAGCAGCAGGAGCCCATTTGCTCCCGAGCTGTCAATCACAGCCAGTGAGCCAATGAAGAGAGACCAGCACCTCAGGGACAAGCACGCATCAGTGCCTCCAGGGTGATCGGCATTCCCTGGGGGCACTACTCAGGAGTGAAGCCAGGAGTGCCGTCAGGGCCTTGAAAAGAAGAGGACCGGAGCTGCTTGGTGCAAAACCATTACACAGAGCAGGTAAGTACTGACATGTTTGTTATTGAAAAAAGAAATAACATTTAATCCTTTTGATTGCTAGGAATATGCTCACATACACAATTAACCTCAATTGCTAGTATAGTGTCTGAATGGATCAATATCTTTGATCAGATCAGAACTATACCAGTGTTCACAATAGTATAGTGTCCCCAAAAAATGCAACTTTTAGCAGGATCAGCCACAACACCTGCCAGCTCCTGCATTTAGCCCCTGGGCTTAACACTGCCCCCTTCTCCTCCAGCAAGTGCAGTGTCAGTAGATCACTGTAACTTGATACATTGCACACAAAACTACAGGGTTAGCAAGATCAGGCCTGATCTCTGCCAGCACTAGCAGGTACATTTTTTTTGTAGCGGCTGAAGCAGTCCCTGACAGCCAGGTACTCGTTTTCCTGTGAGGCGCACTAGGTACCTATACATTTTAGTGGCCAAAATCTCCAACGAAAGGTACTCTGGTAAAGAGGCCTACAGAATTCTGAGTATGTCAGATGAGAGCAAAGGGGAAGCCTCACTGACAGAATCTGCCTCAAAATACGAACCTGTATAGAGCAGCGTCACCCTGACAGATAGCTCAGATGATGGAGTAGAGGTCCCTTCTAAGGTGAGGTGGTACAATTGCATGACGATTCTCATATGCAGCAGAGTGCCAGTAGTACTGCCACTCTACCTTTTGGTGAACTGGCGAGCACCAGTGGCCTAGTGCATCCTGGTCTTTTACATACCAGCACTGCAGTATCACTTGGTAACATGGCGAGTTCCATAAGTGTAGT